GGAGAGAGGTCGACGCCGTTTAAGCCTCCTCCGCGTTCTTAGCTTCCCGTTCATCGTCGGAGAACAAGTGAACCGTTGAACTCGCCTTCTTCTTAGGATCTCCGTTTCAAGAACCAGTTTTTTTGTGAACATTTTGGAAAGAGAGAGAAATAAGAGAACGAAAGAAAAAAGGGCTGGCATTGAGATCTCCAACTCGCCCCCTTTTTCGGTCTCTTTTCTCCGTTTTGATTTTGATTTTGAAAACTCTCCGTTCCCGCGGCCTTTTGCATGGTGCTGCGAGGCCCCCACAAGTCGGAGATCATGGCGGACTATCTTGATGTTAGTAGTTCATGAGTTTTTGTTTTTCGGTTTTTGGTTTTGTGTGGAAGTGTGCTTGAAAAAATATATTTTTGGAACGTTCTTTGGGGGAATATGAAGACAGTGTGTTGTGTGACTTATGGGATTGTGATCTGTGGAAGGAGTTGGAAAGATTGAGATAATGTGTGTGTGAGGGAGAGGGAGAGAGAGAGAGAGAGAGAGATAATGTGAGTGAGAGAGAGAATGAGAATGAGAGAATTACTTTGTGCTAAAATTTATGATATATAAAAAAAAAAAACAGTGATATAAAAGTCTATCTTAATTCAATCTTTCAAGTTTCAACTGACCCTGCATCTATTTTGCCACTCCAACTTCAACACTTCCCCTTCCATAGACTTCCTCCTCAACATCACTAATTTTCGCGTCTGTTTTCTTCTCCTCCTCAGATGTGGCAGGACATAGAGACGGTGCTGCTCGGAGACATCAAGCAGTCGACCACAGAGGCAGCCACCTCGCCCTTCACGCCCACAAACACGCAGCAAGTGCAGCCGCCCCCGCCCCGCCGCCCACGTCCGCACAGCCCCCCAACCCGCAGGCGACGCCCCCTCAGACCCTCCTTCCGCCCTCGCCTTCGTCAGCGTCCGCCCTGCCCCCTGCGCCCCCGCCCAGGTCACGTCGGCCAGCCACCACCAGCACCACCTCAGCGGCACAGTGCCAGCCGCGTCCTCGTGCCACCCGGAGCCCGCACGCTTCGCCGCCGTCAGGAGAGACGTACCCGGCGTCGGTGGGCGCGCACTACCCGCCTCCGTCGCCGTACCCGATCCACCAGTGGCGGATCAAGAGCGAGTACGTGGGCGGGGGAGCAGATCGTGCCGGAGGCCAGCTGGGACTACAAGGAGGGCGCCTACTGGACGGAGTACTACCCCGCCAACGACCCGTCCGCCATGCAGCAGTACGGCTACTTCCCCTCCACCCCCCCGTACCCGGCCGACCTCTATCCTTCCCCGGGGTCGGCGCCCCCTGCGTACCAGCCCTCCCTGCCCACCAGCTCCGCCAACCCCCTGCTGACCCCTCCGTCCTCCCCGTCCCTCCTGGCGGGGCAAGTGCCAGGCGGCATGGCGGGCGCGGTGCCCCCCAACTGCCTCCCCGTGTCGCTCCCGCACGGCTTCCCGACGATGCCGCCGCAGCAGGCGCCGACGAAGCCCAAGACGCGCCGCCGCAGGACCTGGACGCGCCGCAAGGCCATCGTGCACACCTGCTCGCACAACGGCTGCGCCAAGACGTACGCCAAGTCCTCGCACCTGAAGGCGCACATGAGGACGCACACGGGCGAGAAGCCGTACACGTGCGACTGGAAGGGCTGCGGCTGGCGCTTCGCGCGCTCCGACGAGCTCACGCGCCACTACCGCAAGCACACGGGCGACCGGCCCTTCCAGTGCCGCCTGTGCGAGCGCGCCTTCTCGCGCTCCGACCACCTCAGCCTCCACATGAAGCGCCACATGGCGCTCTGAGCGGCGCGAGTCCGGGTCGAAGGCTCAAGTGGGACCTCCGAGTGCCGATTCCGTCTCCGTTGCTCGCGGCGCCGACCAGAGTGCCTAAACACGAGTGCCTAACCTTTAACAGCGTCCTCACCAAGTGCCATATATCCTTAGCCTTAAGCACACCACCAATAACCCCAAAAGCAAGCAGAATAAACAGCTCAGCTTCAGTCAACGAAGTGCCAAAAAGAGAGCAGCTAGTGCCACGACTACCTCTTGCCCAGGGCACACTTCGCAGGTCCTCCCCGCCTCCCGAGGGCTTCGGGGACTTCCCTTCGGAAGAGCCTCGACGCCCTGCCCCGTCGCATCAGGACACGCCCTTCGCGGTATAGATATATATAAAAGTGATATGATCTCGCAGTTTTTATTATTTTTTCAATACATTTTTATTTTTGTACTTTTTCTTTCAGAGGAGCAAAAGTTCTGTTTATTTTCCATTTTCTCCTCATTTTCCCCATCGCGAAAATGCAGATGGAAAATGACGGAATACGGAACAAACAGCATTTGTATTATTATTATGATGAACATATCTTTTCTTCTTTATAATCGACAAACGTATATATTTTATATAAATGTTAAAAAGTTGTGGAAAAAATTTTCAACCAGTGATTTCTTTCTTTGTAATAGGTTAAGTTTTTTAACGTTTGGATTTTCTAGTCATACAA